CAGAGAAGATGGCTAGATATTCTTAAGTATTATGACATGAGTGTCCACTATCACCAAGTAAGGCCAATGTAGTGGACGATGCTTTCAATCGATTGAGCATGGGCAGTGTGTCTCATATTGATTATCAGAAGAAGGAGCCCGTTAAGGGTTTACACCAATTGGCTAGATTAGGTGTATGGATGGTGGATACATCAAGTGGGGTGTTTCAGTTCATTCCAGTTCTTAATCCTCATTTGTTGTAGATGTTATAGCTAAGTACCATCTCGACAGAGTACTCATGCAGTTGTAAGACTTGGTGTTGAGTAAGTTGAATCAATCACTCCCTGGGGTGATGGTGTGCTTAGATACCTGGGTAGATTGTGTGTGCGCAATATTGATCATCTGAGACCTAATATTATTGGAGAGGCTCATGGCTCCAGATATTCCATTCATCCATGTTCCACCAAGATGTAGATCTCAAAGAATTCTATTGGTGGGAAGGTATGAAGCGAGATATTTCTATGTTTGTGGAGTAGTTGTCCAATTACCAACATGTTAAGGCCGAACACCTTATGCCTGGAGGTTTTACCAAGTCGATTGAGATCCCAACATCGATGTGCGAGGCTATTAATATTAAATTTATGGTTGGTCTGCGCAGTACCAGGAAACTGCATGATTCCATTTGGATCATTGTGAACAGGATGACTTAGTCTTCCCACTTCATTCCTGTGAAGTCTACTTATAGGGCCGATGATTATGAAAAGTTGTATATTGATGAAATAGTGAGGTTGCATCGGATCCCTTTATCTATCATTCCGGATAGGGGAGACAAGTTCACTTCAAACTTTTGGAGATCTTTCCAAAAGAGCTTAGGTACACAGGTGAAGCTCAATGGTGCTTTTCATCCTTAGATGAATGGACAAGCTGAGCGTACAATTCAGACCCTAGAAGACATGCTGAGAGAATGTGTTATTGACTTCTAGGGGAGTTGGGATGAACACTTGACACTGATTGGTTCTCTTATAATAATAGCTACCATTTAACTATTGGGATGACACCTTTTGAAGCACTGTATGGCAGAAATGTAGGTCCTCAGTTAGGTAGTTTGGGGTAGGAGAGTCTTCCATTTTTGGCCTTGATATCATACATGAGGCTATCGAAAAGGTGAGAATGACCAGGGATATATTGGCTACTTCTTACAGCCGTCAAAAAACGTAGGCTGATAAGAGGAAGAGGTATCTTGAATTCGAGGTTTGTGATTAAGTCTACCTGAAGATATCACCAATGAAAGGGGTGATGAGATTTGGTAATAAGGGGAAGTTGAGTCTGAGGTATACAGGTCCTCATGAGGTCTTAGAGCGAGTAGGGAATGTTGCCTATGAACTGAAGTTACCTAACCACTTGGCTTCTTTTCATCTAGTGTTTCTTGTTTCGATGAATAAAATGTGTCTAGGTAATCCAGCATCCGTCCTGCCTGTTGACGGGTTAGGAGTCGATGAAAACCTTTCTTATGAAGAGGTTCCAATTGAAATTTTAGATGGCCAAGTGAAGCAGCTAAGGAACAAGGAGGTTTCACCATAAAGGTGTTATGGAGGAACCACCTTCTTGAGGGAGAAACATGGGAGGCCGAGGCTAACATGAGATGCCTAACCTTTGATTGTTCAGTTATAGAGGTTAGATATACTCTTCATAAGTCTGATTTTTTTATTAAACTCTAAATTTTAGTGCATTAGTTGGTTTTAGTGTTTTAAGTCCATAACTGTGTGTTTTATACTTTCACTATCTGAGTTAGTATAAGTTCATACTTGCATTCATATTGCTGTTTTTGTATAACGTTGACATGATTTTTGTGTCGCATGAATTGTGATGTGCATTGAGTTAAAGTGATATTGAGAGGGAAGTTCCTCAGTCTCAGATATGAAGCTTCATATAAGCTTTGACCGATGTGCATCATCTCGAGTAAGTTGTGATATCTTGAGTGATGTGCATCATCCAGAGTATGTTGTGAATAAGATATTCACCAAGAGTAAAGTTTCAAGTATATTGTTGTGTTTTTCAAAAATACCCTCTTTGATTCAAAATGAAGTATAGTGACATTCGAGGACAAATGTTCCTAAGGGAGGGGCGATAATGTAACATTCCAGAAATGTACTTGTCTAGTAAAGGGTATATTAGGTTATATGAATATGTATTAGGGTATATAGGCCTCCAAATTCCTAATATTGAGTAATATTGGGCATGTTAGAGAATATTGGGTAAAGGGTTTTAGCCAATTCTATCTTTTAACAAGTAACTTAAGATATACTTTTACGTTCCAATGCTCCAATCCAGGCTTCTTTAGGAATTGTACCTGCAATGAACACCCTAAGCTAACATTTTATTTTTCTTAGCTTATACACATTACGTACGAGGAATCAAAGTGTTAAGCCTAGGCACCATAACACATTCTCTTTTAAAACGGTCATGTAGACTAAGTAGTGCCCCAGGACATAGTGAGGATCCTTGGGACAACAACTGCGCAGCAACAATTGTGCAAGCATATTACGAGCAGCCTAGAGGCCAAACTACCAAGCCAAACCGCATTCGGTTAGGGCAGTTAGGGGGAAGGCACGCGTCGGGTCAAGCCACGTGAGGCCAAGCTTCCTAACCAATCCTAATATTTAACTAAATTACCTATCTATCTAACTAACCCAGGACTAGCTAAATTGAACTAACTAGTGTGCTCGAAATCCTATGACCTAACCGGAAGACACGAGCTTAGTATCTAACTAAAGAAACTTCCTAGTACCTAACTAAGGATTGTCCAAAGGGGTTGGTTATTGTCCTAGTGACTTACGGGTACTTTATTAATTATCCTAGGTAACTTAATTAATTAAATTATCAACTCAATAAAAAATCATGGTCAAACCCGAAACCGTTAGAAAATTTTAAGAATTTTACTAAGTCTAATGCTCTCCAATTTTTAGTGAATTTAGAAGGGACGTTTTGGTAATTAGTTAATTAATTTATTTAATTATGTCATTTATCCTAAGTTGAATTAGTCAATATACAATTCCTAAGACTCACATCTAACTAATTAAGAAACTCACGACTAAAAAATAGCGAACAAAACGTAAGAAGAACGTAAAAATACTCTTGCTTCTCCTTAGGCTATTTCAAGGAATTTCTTCAAGATTTTTGTGCAAAGTACAGGGTGATCTTTGTAGATTCCATTCTATAGTAAAGTATGGGTTTCTCTCTTGCATCCCTTTCCCTAGGAGGCTTTCAAAACGTCTTTAATTTAAGAAAATCGAAATTAACAAAAAAGCTCTTCTTATGGAAAAATGGAGTGCACAGCAATATGGTGTTGAGTTTGAAGAATCATTTTCTACACTATCTTGATTTGAGACAGTGAGGTTCTTTCTAGCATTGATTGCGCAGTTGCAGTGGATAGTTTATCAATTTGATGTCAAGTCGGCATTCCTCAATGGATACTTACAAGTAGAAGTGTATATCACACAACCCAAAGGCTTCACAAAGAAAGGAGAATGAAACAATGGATTACAAGATAAAAAAAGGTTTATGGTTTGAAGAAGGCCCCTCGAGTATGGTATAGCATGATTGATGGACACTTCTACGAAAATGGATACAAAAGAAGTGAGAATAAACTCACCTTATATGTGAAGGAAGGTAATGATTTCATTATTGTATGCCTTTATGTTGAAGATTTCATTTACACAAGTTCTTCATGTTCTCTTCTGGAAGAGTTTAAGTCTCAAATGATGAATGAGTTTACGATTTAAGATATGGGTTTAATACATTACGTTCTTGACCTTCATGTCCATTAATCTGAAGAGGGAATATTTCTTTCACAAAAGAAAATATGCTAGGGACCTACTCAATAAATTTGACATGCTTACATTCTTGAATGTGGCTACTCCAATAAGTATCAATTAGAAATTGTTGTAAGTAAATGAAGAAGAATTGACAGATGAAAAGAGGTTCATATGCTTTGTTGGAGGTCTACTATATTTGACGCATATTGGACCCAATATTGCATATCATGTTGGTGTTATTTATACGTTTATGTGTTTCATTTGGAACTTTGGACTTTCGTATTTTGAACTCAAAAACTGATAATTTCAAATCATGGGGGTACATAGATAGTGATTGACCAAGTTCAGTGGCTGATACACAGAGTTTTTCCGTGAAGGTTTTCACTCTAGGTTCAGGTGTGGTACTTGGAGTTCAAAGAATCATTCTACATCATCATTGTAAACTTTAGAAATTGAGTACATTGCAACAACTTCAGTAGCTTCTCAAGTTGTCTGGCGAAAGAAAAGTGTTAGCTGATCTTCAACAGGAGCAAACAGGAGCAACAAAGATATTTTACGACAATAAAGCAACTATCTCCATGACAAAGAAACCAACATTCCATAACAGGACAAAGCATATTGATATTCGTCATCATTGTATCCATGATTTGTTATCAAAGGAGGAAATATTATTGGAATATTGTAACACAGAAGAGCAGTTGGTTGATGTATTGACAAAGGCTTTATTTAAAGAGATATTATGCTATTGCAGAGGATTGCTTGGTGTCTGTAGTTTTGAATAAAGAGGGAATATTAAAGAGTTATTCAAAACGATTGACTGAATTGGGACATGGATAATTTAGTAGAACTAGACTTTGGGTCATTGTTATGTAGTTTCTTATGTTTCCTCAAGTTTTATTAGTGTTGCTGATTGAGTGTCGTAGTGCGTTAAAAACCTATATTTTAGGATTAGTTATTTATTTCTTAGCCTATATATCATGTGAGATTTATGTGGTTGATATCTTGATCACTAGCATAATCACTCAGCCCTTGAGGATGCAGCTTCTACGGATTGAGGTTATTCCCCGCTAGAATGGGCCAGGCGGGATGGGGGAGCGGTCGAGCGTGCAAAGTGCATACTTTGTTATTTCTGTACTCCCAATTAATTTGATATTAAACATGGATACAATTGTTTATTTATTTTTTGTTATTTCCATATTTCTCTCAACTTATTCTCCAACGCATATGATATTTGGATTTTAAAAATATTTTGTACTTCAAATGTAGACTAAATGGAATGTTATTGTCCCATTGCCAATGCATTTTCCATATTTGATATGATCCATTTTAAATCTAGTGCTGCATTGTTTTTTTTTTCAGAAAGAGTCTCAATATTACTTACTCACATCAAAAACATCTGGTTTCTCCATGTCAAATAGTTTGGACTTCATCAATCGCAAGCATGGTAAAATTTAACTTTATTTATCAATGTTGGTAAAATTCATAACAAAATAATTGTTGAATGGGTGTTCATTCTCCCAAACTAATAATTTTTTAGGATATAACATGGTGTATCAACATTTTGCACAGTTAAGATATAGATTATCCTCTTCTAATTTATCTTTTATACATAATATGCTGAATTGATATCTTGCTTTTCCTTATGGTGTTAAGATTATTTCTTTACACATTTCCCCCTTCACGGTCTCTCAAAAAGAATAATAATGGAATGTTTTGTTGTTCGTGGTTGTGCGGGAACTCGACCACATAGATGCTTGACCATGAGATGTGGAATTTATTTCGTTGATGTAATATTTTTTAACTTCAGCAAAATTTATAATCTTTAAATAACTTGCTTTGTTAGTAGATTTGTTTCTTCATATAAGAAAAAATAGAATACTAAATATTTTGTCTTTTGTGTGCTTTAGTTTATTTTAATGGGTATCTTTTAAATCAATCTTTTTTGTTTTGAAAAATTAATGTAATCTAAAAGGTTGGGAAAACATTATTTTTGAAATATTATTTTGAAGTCTATTTATTATTTAGTGAAAGATTTTATCAAGTTAAATGGAGTCAAACTAGCCATTGTAGAAACACCTATATGAACACCACTTTGGAGAACACAAAATAGACAACTCTATCTATCTACTCTTTCCTTCAATCTAGGATTTCTTTTGTTGAAGTTTATTATTTCTTATTTCAGATAATCACTGACAAAAGTCCATGAATCATGTGGGATACACCTAATTACCTCTTTCAGAACAGTTTCCGTAACATTCCTCAAGGCAATTTCTATTCTTTATAAGGTACTATTTCTCTACCACTTGTAGCTATAAATTCTAACGGTGTTTTATTCTGTTGAATTGTTGAGCATTATAATATACATCTATGATGAATCTCTTCTTTTGGCGAAATCCTTCTCGAATAATATGTCTTCTAAATCTAGAAGGAGCTACTGCATATCCAATTTGGTCTATCTTGAAGAGATGATGTTTGACTGAATTCTAAGAAGAGGTACTTTGGAACCTACAAATTCTCCTTATGTGGAACTCGTAACTAAACTTGTGGTTCAATTACTTTTATGTTCGTTATCTCTTATATACATATATTTGCCTTTCTTTCATTAATTTCTATGTTAAACTTGACATCTTGAAATGTCTTATGTGCTCGTTCTGTTTAAGTGTGAGACTTACCTATTCCACAAATCTGTAGTTCATTACTACACCTGATCTACATTTGTTACAAAACATAGATATCTGACTACTAAAAATATAAATGCTATTCTTTATAAAAATGATCCTATGCCTCAAAACACATGAACGTATTCATACACAACAGTATTTACATCTTCAACCAATCCTTTTTAATGATGTATAATCACTTTGTATATTTAAACTCGATATTATTTTTATATTTTAAATTGGTTGATTATAGTGATTACAATGTACCTTATCAAACTTCTGGTTAGAAAGATATATATATATATATATATATATATATATATAATATTATTTTAAATGTATCACAGAATTACTAATTCATATATCTACGTAAGAAATGGAGTCTCTCACTTTCAAAAATGAAAAAGGAAAAGCATTATTTTTAAGCAAATGACTACAAATGTCTTTTATAAAAAATTTTTACAACTATCTTAATTTGCATCTACTTAAAATTTGTAATGAAACTATATTTTATTTTATTTTTCATAACCTAAAAATTAGTGAGACTTATCAACTAGAATAATAATGTCACTAACTTCATTCAATGTAAGTATTAGTAGAATAATACACCGGGAGACATATAAACACAACTGAGATAATATCAATTTTATTCTTTATTTTATTAAATCCGTTATTGTTTGTTAATAATCATACAATGGACATAAATTATGTATTTGTAACACTCGATGAAACTAATAAGACTAAACTAGAGCCTAACGTAAAACTAGTACCCTATATAGGTTTAGGATAATGAATAGAGTCGTAAACTAACCACTCTATAGTACTACAAGTGATGTTGGATTTAAACCTCAAGGGACGACTTTCAATAACAACCATAAGTCAAAAAACACCTACAGATTGGGCACGTACGAACCGTGGGTGGATCCATGCCTTGTAGGTGGGCTGTCATAGGTCGAGGCTGAGCCTCCCTATTTTTTCAGCATCTATGATTCAAAGCATATATGACCTGTATGTGCCATTACCCCAAACACGGTTCGTGGGTTGGGGTTTTGTGAGTCACCACTTAATTAGGTCCTTAGTTGTGAAGTTCAGGTTTAGATGGAGGGCTTATGATTAATTATCTAACTAATTAAGATCTTTTAGTACTAATTAAGAACTCTTTAAATAGTTAATAAGACCCCTAAACTAAACAAAGTAACTCATTCTCAAAAGTCCCAAATCAAAAGCTCTCTCCTTCAAAATTTCTCTCTCTAGAGACCACAATTGAAGAAGAAAAAGAACTAGGAGACGAGGCTCAAGAACTCGACCTTCCTCTTCAATTTAGTGGAGGATTCCCACAAAAGGTATGGTAGTGTTGATTTATCGATAGCTTCCTTCCATAAACCCCTTCAAAACTCTATTTTTCAAAGTTCAACTTCTCCAAAAACCTATGTTTTTTAATCTATGACATGGATTCACTTCCAAAACGATTTCAATCTGTTTATTGTCTTATATTATGATCAATTTTATGAATTACTATTGTTTCCTAAAGAATTTATCTAAGAATCCTTGAATATCTAGGTTTCTCTAAATTCAATCTTGAAGCATCAATATGTGTATTTGTTTGTCAATTGTGTTTGAATATGTATGTGATTAATTTCTTACTTGAATTAGGTTATTATACATGTTCAATAAAGTAATCTTTTTGATGTTGATGCATAATTAACTATAACTCCTGAAAGGAAAAAGTATGAAAACTAGCTATATGTATGAGACTTGTGTGTGTTGAATTAGATTGCTTTTAAAGTAAAGTAATTTTATTATGATCTAATTATGATATTTTTTGGTTTATTATAAAGATACACACACATTGGTGTGAAGAGAATTTAATGTGGAAGATTTGTCACATAAGTTTGTTCTAAGGGTTGAAAACTAGTCTCCCTAATGGATCCAGGGGTTTAGAATGAGTTGTTGGGTTCATTGTCACGACATTCTTCCTTAATAATAATGTTAAATTAAGGACTTAGCATAAAATCAATAAAAGTGATGCTTATGCCCTAATGGATAGTGATATGAGATGGAAGTCCTCATGATAGTAGAGGCCGGGCTTCTAGGTAAAATCTATTGGGATGGAAGCCCTCATGCTAGTAAAGGTTGCATTTATAGTAACAATACCATTATTCCATAACTACGTGCCTACATAGATATTTAAGAAGTGGATCCACTTTAGCTAAGAGTTTTAGTTCTACCTTAGGCAAGTTGTATTGTCACGACCAAAGAGCACCTCCTAGTTGTAACCAGTGTCGTTGACTTCGAATGGTCTTAGACAATCTCTTGTAATTCATCATTGCATATTTGATAGAATAATAATGGAAATATAAAAATTTTTATTTGAATTTCAACTTTACTTCATAGATAAAAATGGAAACTAATTTGGTTCACATTGCCATCTAGACAGAGTAGTATGAAAATTATTACATAGTCCTTAGATCAAATACAAGTCTTATAATACGAACACGACATAGTCTCTACATAAGGAAAGTGGAACTAGAATAATTATAAACATTTGCATCCTTGGACTTGAGGAATCACCAAATTTGGAATACAATCCACGTTTCTTCAAGAAAGGACCAGAATCACCTCAACGACCCGAACATACACTAGTGTAGAAAGTAAGATACATGTGGTTAATACAAACCACATGTATTAAGTATGGAAACATACACAAGTAAAACATTTGAAAACATGCACAACGATAGATTTTGATTATAAGCATGCTATATTTACTTTAAAAGCCTTTGAGCACATTCCAAGAACAATATACAAGGTTATACCATAAGTGACATCATGATAAAACCTTAGTCAACATTTCATAGTTAAAGTGAATTTTATAAATTCATCACAAGACCTTACTCCAAACTCCAATCGAAGTATACTAGTACAATGTGAATGTGAAACCCCATAAGCCCACACACACCAAGAAAACTAGCAATGAGAACACAAGAATTTTTATTTATCTCATACATCATCATAACATGTATAGTCAACAACCTTCATACCAAGTGAGACCAACATTACTTATATCAACTAAATCCATCATTATGCATATCATATGAGAGCATCATCATGCAAAACATTATAACATATATACATAACTCCTGTCAAGATCTACTTGTGTAATGTATTTGTAAAGTCTCATACCCTTATCTACACTAAGTAACACCTATTATATAGTTAGTTAGTGTTCATATTCTTACATTCAATCATTAACATTAACATTCTGAAACTTTGCCATAATTGACATAGGCCATGTGAGCTACATGAAATCCGTGTTAACCCCTCACACCGAAAGGATGTGTCCTCATTTCCAAGGTAAGACAGAAACATACATATAGCATCTAAGTGGATTCACTAGCTAAGGTTCCTATGATGGCACATAGTTGAGGAACTAGGAGGTTGTTTATATAATCTCTCTTTATTCTAATTAGCGTTGTAGTTTCCACCTCATGATACATGGGGTGAACCTTTCTTCCTTCGTGAAAGAACACCTCTTATTGTAAAGTTCATTTGGTGCTAAGATAAATTCCCCTTTTGAAGAGTCTTTTAAGTCTTGATTAAAATTCAATTCCTTGTATAGGTCTTAGGATTTTAACCCCTTATATAACATGTACATATCTCATAGGTTCAAGGATGAGAAAGTATTTAATCATAAACCCAACATCATTTGAGAACACTACTTCATAACATGACATATAATGTGTATACAAACTACCTTCCATTCCCCATAGTAAGACACCCACATTCATCTCACAATAATCACATTCATATCATGATGTAGCATTCATAAATTCATCCTTCATACTTCAAGTAATCCACATTACCAAATATAAACCCCAATACTACATAGAATATTCATAGCCTTGAAGGTCTTACCAATGGCCTTCAAGATACCCCTTCAAGACTTCGTCCCAAATCCATGATATTCATCCATAAAATAGATTATCATTATCATACAATAGTCAATTATACAAGAACATACTTAATTACATCACCTAAAATCATTAATCAACATAATTCAAGAACTAGAATTAAAAGAAGAGGAACATTCATGGGTCTTTAGGATATAAGGTAAAAAAACCTAATATGATACATAAACTCATCCATAAAACATTCATAATCAATCATTATGAATGAATTCAAGAACAAATAATTCAAGTTTAAAGGTGACCCACGAAATTGAGTGAAATCTAGAAAATTGGAAGAACATTGAAATAGATTATAAAGGAAACTGTTGGGGAAAGAAGTACCAAGAGTGAAGAGTCTAACATTGAAATAGATTTTAAAGGAACCTGTTGGGGAAAGGAGTACCAAGAGTAAAGAGTACCCATATCTTGTCAATGCTTATGGATTAATGGAGAAAAGTCTTGTTCGTGAGACTTGAAGCTTTGACCTTCTTCTTCAATGGAGTCTTTGTGTAGTAAGAGAATTTAGTGAGAAGTGAGAGCCTTTGGGTTTTGAAGTTATAAAGTGGACGAATTTTTTTATTACTTTTAATACATTAATATATCTAAACTTACTAATTATAACCATTTTTAATAGCTATCTAATTAATTATATAAGTACCCAACTATCTTTTATCTAGCCGT